CTTGCACTCCAAACAATTCCAAATTCTCGCCCATAGTATTCGGCCGTCATATCTCGACCGCCTTACGCGTGCGCGTCGCGTGCCTAGTCCTTGGCGGTTTGGTTTCTTGCGTGCGCGCGCTACACGCATGGCCTCTCGCGCGCGCGCCCTGCTCGTCGTCCCTCTCTCGCACATGCAACCCATCACCCAGCACTCCTATGCCCGTGCGGTTTAGGCTCCCCGCGCTTGTGGTGCACTTGCGCGCTATCGCGCGCACTTTCTGCCGCCCGATCTCCTCGCGTGCGTGTAGCCGTGCGCCCAGCTTTTCTATGCAGGCAAGGACTCCGCCCGCGTGCATGTCACCCGCACTTCCATCGCGCCCAGTGTCTCTGCTGTCCCACGCCAGCGCGTCCCGGCCACCTTCGCGCATGTTGCGCACGTCCAGTGCCCATGCTCGCACGTGTACGCCCAGTGCCCGCGCATCACCACCCGATGCGCGCCTCTCGCCTATTCGCCTATTGGCCGTGCCCGACCAATCTTCACATTCTCCGGGCTCGATTATTGCTTTCGTATCATTCCCGCCCCCTTTAAGCACATCCTTGTCCTCAAGGATCGAGGCTATCTCCAAACTCCTCATTTCGGCTTCTCGACTTTTTCCTTTTGGTTCGGTTTTTAGCATGATGAGTCGGCTTCCCGAGTAGAACTCCATTATGCCTTTCTTGTAATTCGTAGTGACTTCTCCAAGTCCTTCAAGCCATTGAATTCCAAGAACTATCTCGGGCCCCACAATAGGTAGTGCATAGAGGTCGGCTTTAATGATCTCACCTTGTAGGTTGATGGGCACTTCCCGATAATATTCGTGACATCTTAGCCGCTCTCCATTGGCAACCCTTACATCGAACGGTTCCATCTTTGTTGCCTTGAGCTTTAAGTCCTTAGGTACTTTTTTGCAAATGAATTTATGCGATGAGCCGGTGTCGACTAGTACCTCGATTGGCCGTTCCTTGATCATGGCGGGCAGCCGGATTGTTCTCGGTCCTTGTAGGCCTGCCATTGCATTAACCGAGATCTCTAAATCTTCGTTTACTTGTTGCGCCGGTTGGTCTTCATAGGCCTCCTCCTCGTCCTCTTCAATGACGTCGATCAGAAAAAATTGTTTGCATTGATGGCCTGGGGTGAACCTTTCTTCGCACTTGTAGCAGAGACCCTTCTCACGTCGGCATCTCATCTCTTCGAACGTGAGTTGTTTAACGTTCAGAGGTGGCGTTCGAAAGTTGTTCCGCGGTCGCGGGTTGGGATGGACGTTGCTCACGTTCAATGGTGCGTTGTCTTTGATTGTGCGCTCGTCCAAGTGTTGGTGCCGTTGCTCCAAGTTACGCACACTCTCTCGCCCGATCCTCGGTGTGGCCGTTAAGTGTTCATCCCTCCTTCGTGCAGACTCCATGGCCTCGCGCATGGTCCGTGGTTGGTCGAGCCTTACTTCTGCGGCTAGCTCGAATTTGAGCCCACCTATGAAAGTCCCGATGAGTGCAGAGATCGGCTAGTTGCGCACCCGACAGGCGAGTCGCTCGAACTCTTTCATGTAGTCTCGAAGACTTCCTGTCTGCTTGATGTGTGAAAGTGCCTCATCGTAGCTATGGTAGTAGGACGACCCAAATCGAGCAAGTAGCTCGCGCTCAAATTCTCCCCATGGGATTTGGAGCGGGTTGCCTTGGTAGACGCTCACGAACCATTGCCACCAAACGTTGGCTTCTCCGTCTAGATAATAGGCTGCATACTTAACCCTCTCATACCAAGGCGTCTCGTTGATGTCAAAATATTGCGCTGCTCGGTTAAGCCATGCGTCGGGGTTTTCTCCGTTGAACGTGGACAACACAAGCCTCGGTTTCTCGATACGTGGGCGACCTTGATACGTGCGCTGCGCCCGTGCGCGCCTGATCCTGCGCGCGTGACTGCGCGCGCCGTTCCCCTGTGATGCGGAAGTGGCCAGGCAGCTCAAGAACGCTGCGAGCCGGGCATACCATGCACGCAAGAGGCTGGCCCGAGAGGCGGCAGAAGTGCGCGCACTGGAGTATAGTGCGCGCGAGACGAGCGAAGGAAGCCTGAACGAGGATGTGCGAGTGATGGACGCGGACAGCGTGTGTAAGCAGGGTGCGTGTAGCACGGGGTTGACGGGC